ACGGTCGAAAATTTCGAATGAAACATGTTGGGGTAAATTTTTTTAACAAGTCCTTCATTTTTGCCTATATTCATTAAAAACACCACTTTCATATTTCTCAAAAAAAAAAAAAAGAGTAAATATGTTATTGAACTATCAGAAATATGATTATGTTACTGTTAATAATCGGGGGATGAAAACGTCATTATCGTGATTCGTGACATGTTTTTATGAGATTGGTATGATTTTTAAAAACACCACTTTCATATTTCTCAACAAAAAAAAACACGCAAATATGTTATTGAACTATTAGAAATATGATTATGTTACCGTTAATAATCGGGGGATGAAAATGTTATTGTAGTGAGTCGTGACATATTTTTATGAGATTTGTATAATCTGAATTAGTAAAAGAATTAAACTTGATCTGGATTTGACGATGTTAATGCTCGTAGCCCGTTGAAATTCTTGAATCAGATGACCTCACTGCGGAAAATTCAAGAAATTGGATGGGAAGGAGAATAAAGGAGGAAGGGTTAATGGAGGTAATGAAGCTAATTTGTTGGTGAAATGAATGAAATCATTAGACTTTTGTTTGAGATCGAGGTAATGACATACATAATTAGAAGCGAGTGGTAATAAAAACTGATAGTTTTGGCCATGAGTATTGTTTGAGTATTTACAATGAAGTGGAAGAAGCGGCAATGTTTGCCGCTTCTTCCAATTATATGGCAACCATTTAGGGTTTTTTTTATGTCGTGCTGCTTATCACTAACTAAATTGCGTCCGATTTTATAAAAAAAAAATTGTTTATATATCACGTGTCGTTTGATTAAATCACCCACGTTGCTTAATTAATCTGATTCGTCTATTTTTGCACGTCGAACTATCAAAATGGTCTATTTATGACACTCGTTAAATAGTTAGGCATAAAAATGTCACCATCGTGACACATTTGTCCCTCGGGCGACTAATCACTAACAACCTCTACACATTCGATTTTTTAAGCTAAATTCTTTATTTTAAACATCATATACGCCACGTGTCGTTCAATCAAACGACCTACATCACCTAACATATTCCATGTATTTTAATACATTACATTTTATTTGTCACACACAATATATTGTTCATGAAAAATTGACTTTTAATTTTATTTATTAGGATCAAACGTTTATTACTATACTAAAAATTATACTGTATTTATTAGCAAGGATATAACTTTATTTTATAACCAAATTCATCCCAACAAACATGGAATATCTTCATAAATTTTCCTTTCCCTTTTTAATTATTGTCCTTTTAAAGGTCAACTAAATAAAACCTAGTGAAGTTAATATCAAGAGTAAACATTTACATATTTATTACATAAAATTCTTCTAAATTATTATCTTTATTTTTTCTTTTGAATATGCACCCTCTTTGGAAAGATATTATTTATTTATAGCCTATATACTTTATAGGTGACTTTAGTAGTACATGAGATTTGCCTTGACATTATAAATGTCAACATTCTTCGAAGCATAGGGACAAGTAGATTAATGCTTATGAGAAGAGACAAAAAAGTTGTCAATTATCAAGAATGTTGGTAGTTAAAAATTGTCATTTATAATTAACACAACTACACTCCCAAAAAATAATGGACCTTCATATGGATATCATATTTAAAGTCTTGTTAAAAATTAGTGGAGTGAAATGGACGAGATGAACAAATTGAATTAAATTTGAACAGATCAAAATTGATATATGGATAGGTTATTAACTCATTCGTCAAAGGTTATTTAGATTAAGATTAGCTAAGTAATGAGTCAAAGGTCAACCCTCCCAATTTATACCGACTCTTAGCTAGTGTTTGACCATAGATTTTGGATTAGATCTTGAAAATTTATTTTTAGTTAACTCGTTCAAAGGTTATTTGGATTGAGATGAGCTAAGGTAATGGGTCATAGGTCAACACTCCCAACTCTTACAAACTCTTAGCTCGCGTTTGACCATAGATTTTAGATCAGATTTTGAAATTTTATTTTTAATTAATCGTTTAAACTTTAAAGGTTACTTGGCTTGAGATGAGCTAAGTACTCCCAACTCTTATCTAGAGTTTGACTATAGATTTTGGATTAGATTTTGAAAATTTATCTTCAATTAACTCGCTTGAAGGTTACTTGGGTCGAGATTTGCTAAGTAATGGGTCAAAGGTCAACACTCCCAACTCTTATCTAGTGTTTGATCATAGATTTTGGATCAAATTTTAAAAATTTATATTCAAAATATTTGTTTGACCATGAAATTTGATCAGATTTTAAAATTTTCTCAAATTCTCAAAAATTGGCTTAGATCATTTTTTAAAAAAAATTTAGGACTTCCACTCACAATTATTTTTTAAAAAAATAAAGTAAAATAAAATAAATGTCCAAACACAACTTAAAAAATTAAAATTTTCAAGTTTTAAGTGTCTGCTTCAAAATCTATGGCCCGACGGATGCTATTTTATTTTTGGTTTTCTTATAATTTATTTGATTATCTCATAAAACTCTTTTTTTCTTTGTTGTGATAATATATAGCATATCAAATTTTAAAAAATTAAAATATAATAAAAGACTTGAACAAAAGTGAATTTGGGCCAAAGCAGGAAGAAGCTATTCTGGGCCTTTTCGAATGGGCCGAGCCCAGTCCAACAAGTTAGCTATCATGGCCTTCAAACAATAGGCCCACCTTTTGTTTGTCCATGTGAAAATGAAGCATTTTTATCCGTAATAATTTAGCTAGCATTTGGTCATAGATTTTTTTATTAGATTTTGAAAATTTATCTTCAAATATTTGTTTGATCATGAAATTTGACTAAATATTAAAAATCTATCTTCAAATATATGTTTGATCATGAAATTTGACTAGATTTTGAAAATTTATCTTCAAACATTTGTTTGACAATTAAATTTGATAAGGTTTTGAAAATCTATCTTCAAATATTTATTTGACCATTAATTTAAACCAATTTTTTGAAAAAATGATCTTCAAATATCTGTTGACCGTGAAATTTGACCTGATTTTGAAAAAAAGCTATCTTTAAATATATATTGTCTAGATTTGAAATTTTGATCTTCAAATATATGTTTGACCATGAAATTTGACCAATTTTTGCAAAATCGATCATCAAATATCTGTTGACCATGAAATTTCAACCAAGATTTTTAAAAAATCTATCTCTAAATATCTTTTTGACTATGAAATTTGACTAGATTTTAAAATTTGATCATATTTTAAAAATCTGATCTTCAAATATTTTCAATTTCCTAGCATGTTTTTGGGACTTCCGCTCACAAATACTTCAATTATTTTTCAAGTAGTATATTCAAACACAACCACAAAATTTTATATTTTCAAATTTCAAAATATAATTTTAAAATCTATAATCAAATAGGATCTTAAATAAAAGTCTAAGATATGTGGAAAACCTAATTGATCACATTAAAATAAAGTAAAATTTACTTGTAATAATTTATGATTTGACACATAGAAAAGTGTAATAATTTGGCGTGTTTGAAATAATAAAAGTTGTTATTAGCTTATCGTAACAAATTAAGCCTTTTGTTATACAATATAATATAATGGTTAACTTAAATTGACTTGTGCATGACTATGATAACATGATTTAAATCTCTCCAATATTAATCAGAAGTCTCGAACTTTAACCCCGTCTTCAACACGAATTCATAAATCAAACAATAATATATTTCTTTTTTCTTTTTCCCAATAAAGCACTGTCCACACTTCCACCAAACGTGTATAAACAAATAGTAGCAAAATCAGAACTTTATTCTAAAAGTAATGCTTTATTGATTTCGTTTTATGCAATATATTACTTTTAAGAGAATAATATATTTGATTTATATAATAAATATTTTAATTCTGAACCTTTCATCTTCTCCTTTTTTTAAAGAAGTTTTACCGTCACACATATTTTATAGCACATTTAAAATACAAATATAAAATTAATCTTGTAGTCGGGTTTCAAGAATTTTCTTAAGAAATTAAACGACAAGTCAAATTCTATTACATAAAAATATAAACTGAAGGTGTAGTTCATTTTTACTATCAATCGATGTGATGGACCAGATGAGATCCTAACTCCAATTCCCTCTTTGGAAGTAAAGAAGTTTTGATAAAAAGTGTTTCTCTTAAATTTATCATACCCAACGCGAATCTAAATTAGTCGGACGAGCATATATATATTTCTTTTCAAAGTAAGCGTGTTCTTGGAATTTGGGGTTATATCAACTTTGTGTGGCGGCTTTACTACATGATATATGAATAAATAGTGACAACAAAGAAGTCCAAGGTGGTGTGCACAATTTTTTGTTTATTACCTTTTTCCTTATGATGTTCGGTGTTTATATTTAAATTCAATTAATTTGAATTTACGTATTTTAGGGCTTATTTTGGAGGGCAGTATAATTAGCATGATTTTATTTCATATTCAGAATTTGAACACAATTTTTTAAATTAAAGATGAAAGAATCTCAATCATCCCATCATAATTCAGGCCGGTTAGTTATTTCTATATACCTTTCACCTTTGCTTCTTTGAGTAGTACTCATATTATTTTTGTTTCTTTTTTACATTGGTGTGTTGGACTAGTTTGAGTTGAGTCAATTATCTTGTTATATTTTTTAAAGTTTTGCATTTGATATTTGTATTGAGATAGCTTGATTGATTTGAATTTGTGCCACAAAAAGCCATAAAGGAGAAGTACTTCTTATTAAAATTGTTTCATGCGTAAGGTTCAAATTCGAAATATCTGATTAAAAATAAAGAAATCTCATTCACTTGGTTACAATTCTGAATGGTGACTAATGAATAATGGAAGAAGAATTAGCTCATATAACACTAGTACTGAATAGAATGTATCAATAATGTTATAGAGTATTATTAGTTACGTTGAGACTATTTTCTATCTTTATCCACGTATAACTAATATCATAATTTGCTATGTATACATTAGTTATACACCCTAATACTGAATAAAGAGTAAAACTAATACATATATTAAAACTGTTTAAAAACAAAGGTATATAACATTTGATACTTGATTAAATATTGGTCCCATCATTGGGGGATTAACAAGGCACACAAGCTATGGCGCAAAAACCTCACACATTTGTTCTACAACTAATATAAGAGAGAAAATAAGGCCGTGTTCGAGTTCATGGCTGAATGGTTAAAGCGCTCAGTTGTACTAGAGCAACTAGAAAGAGATTCTTTAACCAAAAAGAATTTGATTCAAAACACTTAAGAGGAAGCACTTCAACCATCAATTTTCCTCTTCTTCTTTGATTTTTGATCTTGAGAGTGATCGAAGGATCCTGAAGAGGTCAATGCACTACGACCACTTTTGCCTGAATCTTGAAGAGATTGGTTATTGGATTTTGCAGGGCCGCCAGCACTGTGTTTTCTCTTGGTAGATTTGGATGAACTCCCTGATCGCATAATACTCCGTGTTCTAGTACTTTGACTAGGAGTTGCAAAGCGACGAGACGAATTGGTCAATGTAGTACCAGACGATCTCTGAGCCATCATCTGCTTTAAGTTTATGCTGTTCTGTTTAAGCTCACTTGGTTCCGGATAATGGATTAGGGAAACACGCCGGGAAATTTTGCCAGCTGCCAAAACATGCAAAAATCTGCTCAAACGCCTTGATTTTGTGCTTGAATGGAAAACTAGCAGCATTTGGATCATACAGAGGTTCACATTAAGGAATAACAGTAAGTTCTACCAAAAATATAAACAAAAAAGCATTAGTAGTTGGAGAATGTGCAAGTTCCGCACAACTAAGAGAGTGCAGTAAAATCTCAATATGCAAACAAAACGAGCTTCAGTACTCACATGACAATAATGCATGGTACAACATAATGGTTGGTACAACAAGATTATGAAGCATGACACCTCAACTGTCAATAGAAAAGCTTTGACTTGACACCAACATCACAAAAGAAGAAATAAAAATTGGCATATCCAATGGGACATTGCAGTATTGCACGTTTTGAGTGTCGAGATCATGAGTGAATAAGCAGACAAGTGGATAGTAAAATGCAAAGGAACTAAGAGTTACCAATTTTTGGCTCAGACTCAGATGGTAGAAAGACCACCGCATCTGGGTCCTGCGCTCTACAACTGACCACTTCATATGATTTACCTGTTACAAAAGCAATCATTGAGCAAGACGTCAAGAAATTAAAAGCATCTTTCATTCTCTTAAAAGGCCTGCTATGAAAATTAGAGGTGCTGAGGTGGGGAGACAAACTCAATTAGATGTAAATGTTATTCTTATGACTGTACTTGCCAGATGAATCCTCAAAGCTGCCCATATGCCCATCATGATGGAGCTTCAACGAAACTTCTTGCCCATCAAGACCTGGATGCTGGAGTAGCCAATTGGAAATGTCAAAACTCAGAACTGATGTAAGTGACAAGGACTGAAAAATATATCAACAACCTTAAGTGCACACCCAACATTAAGAATCACAGAAAAGGAAATAGAAAGAGACAGAAAATCTCTTCATTAGTTGGATACTTTTCACCTGATCGGAAAAAAGAAAAGAATGCACCTTATTACATCCTAAAAGTGGAAGAACAATAAATTCTCATGAATCTTACTTGATTAAAGGGCCACTGTATAAGCCAGAGCTCAGTTGAGTCTGTAATGTTAAGATTGACAAGTGAATCCTTTTTGACCTCCTCAAATTCTGATGGTGGTTTGTAGCTCAGTTCATTCGGAGCGTCCATAATGATGGAATATTTTCAATAAGAGCACTTGAAAATGGCAGCCTAAACAGCTCCTGAACCAAAGGTTTACACAGAAAAGCACAAACAACATAAGATAACTCAAAATTTGAAAATCTTTGGAGTTAATAGACCTTTGACCAACAACAAGAATAAACCCAATGAAATCCCACAAAGTGGGGTCTGAGGAGGGCAGAGTGTAAATAAACCTTTCTACTACCTCTCCGATGTAAAGAGGTTGTTTCCAAAAGACCCTCGACTCAAGCAAATCAAACCAGTAATTAAGAGAAAAACATGACAACAAATAGCAAAGTAGTGCGGAGCATATATGCAAGAAGCCATGACATTAACAACAAGGTGCAGTCACCTAAACGCAAAATGCATTAAATCACAGATGATAATTAGAAACAAAAAACCAAAGACTACATGAATAAGCTAATACTATGACCAACACGGAGCTCCACTCAGCCAAAGACATGAATATGCTAGTAATAAGGACACCCCTCAACTAACTACTAACCTTCTAGCCTTATTCACAGCCTCTATACCCTCCTATCTAAGGTCAAAATAGTCTTCATGTTCCGTCATGTGGCTTTATGTTCTTCCTGTAGCATTCAAACTGAATCCTAGATAAGATGCAATGCGACATATCGTGCCCAATCACCTCTCCTCAATACTTATTCAGCCTACCTCCGCCTATCGTCGAGTCCACTATCAAAAGTGGATTAAATTTGATAAGACTTAAAATTCGCACAATCACAGTCTATATCTAATGTTCAAATCACTTGAACTCCTAAACACAAACTCCTACAGATTAATTTAAGAATTGAATAAGTCACTTTCTATCTGAATAACAACTATTAGTTCAGTTCCCATGACAGACGCTCAAATTCTCATGTGCCAAAATTTCAGGAAAATAGAGTATGAATTCAAAGAATAAACCAGGTACTATGTAAACTAAGTTAAACATACTGAGAAGAGGGACTAAGAGACGAGAGTGAGAGATACACGCACCGCTGCCCTGCTAGTCGACGACGGTTTCTGCGCCGCTGCCGTACTGGTAGCCGACGGTGGCTGCGCCGCTGTCCTGCTGGACGCCGCCGATTGCTGTGCGGTGAGAGTAAACAAAAGTGAAACGATGAACAGATTTTTTTATTTTGATTTAGGGCACCAAATACAAATTGGGATTGGGTTAAACATAAATCTGAAATGGGCTTGGAATTTGGGGTTTTAAAATTAAAATATTTTTTGCCAAAATTTTAAAATTTATTTAATAAAAAATGTTATCGGACACCGAATTCAAGAATCGAACTTTCAAAATCAAAATCAAAAAAATAAATTAGTTCAATTTTTAATTTGATTTTTCGATCTTCTAGTATTTATGTTCATCTCTAGTCAAAATCAAAATCAAAAAAATAAATTAGTTCAATTTTTAATTTGATTTTTCGATCTTCTAGTATTTATGTTCATCTCTAGTCAAAATCAAAATCAAAAAAATAAATTAGTTCAATTTTTAATTTGATTTTTCGATCTTCTAGTATTTATGTTCATCTCTAGATTGAACTGAAATATGCTTAATAAGTCGGTCATAATTTGACTCGTTCAATTCTTACTAAATTTTCATAGTCTGTTAAGTGTTTTAAAAAAAAATATTTTTGTTTTAATTATATATAACATAGTATCAAATAAGACTATAATATTTTTTTTGAAAAACATTCTAACGAAGCTTCTCGTTAATCAACAACTTTTTAAATGATTTAAAACTGGGGCGAATCAAAATGTGTTTAGTTAGTGAAATGAGGTTGGCATGACATATTTCACATTTAATTTTGTCGGTCAAAGACACATATAAAATATTCTAATTTTTTAAGTTTTATATCTAAATTATAAGGTGTATGAGTTTCTAACTCATTTATCACTAAATATTTTTCGAAACATACCTTAACTATTAGTTGTTCTCTTTTTCTAACTGAACAATGGTGATATTTCAAATATGAAATAAAAAAGGGAATAACTATTTATCTTGGTGTGTTTCGATAAATATTTTATTACAGTTCAAACAGAAAACTTGCCCATCTGACAATTTTGATATGAAACTGGATAAAAAATACATTTTAAATATATTTTTGACTATTAATCGTAACTAAATGTGTAAATATTTTATTCTTGTCCTTATTTTGAGTACGTCTTTATTCTCAACTTCATCATGTTTTTTTTACTTACAAATTTTGTTGTTTTTTCCAAATTGCAATTTGACCAACCTTTTATAGAATATTTTGGGCATTCTTTGACTTTTTAGTTTCTTGTTTTCTTAGAACATTTTAATTTATAATATTAGTTTCTTTTTTCTTTTTTTAAAAAGTAGAGATAGAATATTTTCCTATCTTATGTTTTTTTAATCAATGAGAAGTTGAATTTTGATACTCTTTTTCATTTTCTCACACACTATTTTTTCCTCATTTGTAAAAATATTTACTTATTAGTCAACAAAGATAATGATAGCAGACCAAAACAAGAAAATAGTAGTAAAATACAAATTAATTCTGCCTAATTAGTACTTACACTTCTTATAACATTAAAAATAAAAAAACCTTGTTGACTTGGCACAGGGTGACGGTGCAACAAATATTAAATTATCATATTTTAATTTTGACGCTTCAATTTTGATATTATGATATTTGCTATGCATTTTATTTTTAAAAAAAGTGGTGTTTGATATTTAAAAAATAAATTGAAATATTGAATAACAGATTTAGATAATTATCATATCTCTCAAGTGTGCATAACTTTTAACTTTATGAAACATGAAATCGAGCAAATTGTAATTATCGACGTATCATGTGTAGAAACTAAAATTTTAACACAAATTTTCTAAATCGTACTGAACCAACAACCCTACTTGGTTTATAAATTCAAAATCTTGTCAAAGAGAAATAAATAAATTGAAAAAGAAAAGAAGTTGAAAATTCAATTCTTTGTCATTGCTTACGTACTTATTACTACTCTATAAACTTCTTCTCGAAATCTTCTTAAGAATTGTTGTTAGGTAAAACATAAAATCAGAATATTGGTTCCTAATAAAAAAAAATATTTTTATTTTTCACCCGGTATGGCCCAATTCGAAAAGAAGTATTTTTTATCGAGAATTTTTTTTCATATCTAAAATTTGAATCTGAAATCTCTTATTAAAGAAGAAATATCTAATTCTTTAGTGATGGTCCCTAATAAATTTCCTTCTTTTCTTCCCTTCTTAGTTTTATGACTATTATATAGACTTGTTAGGCACTTATTGATATTTTTTCTACCTATATATGTAAAATATACTAGCCCACAATGATTATTACTTATTCAATAAGATATTTCTCTCTAATCTTAGGCTTCATCAAGTGGTGAAATAAAAAATAAATATCACAATTTTTTCGAGTTTGGGAAATAAAAAAATCTTTGATAAGAAGTGTTTTTTCTTTTTAATGAATTGTATATGGTGCAAATTTTAATTATTAGGACTTGGGTTGCAGATAGAAACAAATCTAAAATCTATTTTTTATGGGTTCGATTGTTAAGGTTGTTGGCATTTGAAAATTGGAACAATTATAATTTTAAAATATTAAGTTCAAACCTAGTATTTAACGAAATTTTGGTGTAGTTTTATACATAAATTTGAAATCCATATCCAATGTATTGAGCTCAAATAAATCTAATGTTATAAGGTTAATTGCTTCCACCTTCGATTTTGAAGACCAAATGTATACACAATTTTTTAATCATAGTGTTCAATCAACTTGTTTCATCTAGATTAGTTTCACATGTATCTACTATCAATACAAATATTAAGTAACTTTATTATGTATCAAGATTTCGACAAATGAAAAGAAATCACTTCATGTTTTTTTTTTGTGTTCGTAACTTCTTGTTGTTACTATATTCCCCATCATTTTAATTGACCTAATGAGCTAGTTTGGTAAAACTAATACTACTATCTAGTGAGGTTGAGTTAATTAATAGTGGATTATTTTTGATTAATTAGTCTTTTTGAAGATTAAAAATAACTACTCTTTCTAATTAAGGTCAATTAAAGCTTGATAATTGAGTGTTGTTATTGACAATGCCTAATTGTTACTATCATTTTTATAGTGAAAGCAAATTTTGTTGTACCTAACATATATAGACTTCTTTCATTTTTAATTAAGAGTACATCAACTTAATTCCTAAATTTAAAACCTATAAGCTAATATGGGGCCAAAATATTTGAATATCTTAAACTAAGTAATTAATTAAAAAAGTAATTAATAACAAAATAAATATTATTTTAATGTTATATGATTATTGGCCAATGCCATTATTTAAAGTTGTGTAGCTAGCTTCTATCCACCTAATTACTTGTTGGTTTGACAAATGTCTTACCAAATCAATCTGGTTGGTGTTCCTTTTTTCCTATCAGTTTAAGCTAATTTTGAGGAAAAAGAATTCTTCAAAATATTCGATATTCATTTTGGGGCCTTCTTTATCTATAAGTAGAGAAAGATTCATTGTGTCAATGACCTGACTGTGTCGTACATGTGCTCTACAGGGCGTACTCTATCTTTCTTCCCAACCCCAAACCTTCCATTCTTTACTTTTTTAAAAAAAAAAATTTGAAAGATAACACTACGTCATATTCGAAAGATGTGATTTTTTCATATGTCTCTATATAGGATTTTCACTAATTCAATTAGATAGTGATCGATTCTTTTGAGCGGAAAGCATATCGAACCTAACAAGCAGGCATCTTTTGCAATACAAGCACTATTGTTTGACATCACCGAAAAACAAAAATTTCATTACTTCAAACTAAAAATATTGAAGCCATAATTTTTGTCAAGAATATTAAAATTTAAATAAGTTATTAATATCCAAAATTCTGGTTGAGTGAGTCCACCGCCATCTTATTTAACTTAAATGCAATTATTATTTAGTATCCCTGTATATAATAACAATTCTTTTGAATCTATGACTTTTTTCCCTCAATTATTGGGTTTATTGGTCACAACCTCCAAGTTTTATGATGTCAAATATTAAATTCATTAGAAAAATAAATTTTATTTTCTTTCAATTCTTTGGCTATAGGCTAGAATTTTAAAATAATTATCATCAACTTAAACCTAATTCCACTAAAAAGTACTTCGGTGGGTATTCGGTATTCGATTCGGGATTATCAAATTTCAGGTTTGGTAATTTGATAATTGGTAGTTAAAAATAGATATCAAATATCAAAATTCTAAATTTCGATTCTGTAATTCGATAATCGATAAATTAAATTTCGGTTGGTATGGTATTCGGTAATACCATATTGAAGTTATAGTTGATTGTATTACAAAGTTAATACTATTTTTCTAATCATTTCTATTTATTTATGTGGATGGACGATATAATAGAATATCATTAAGAAGAGATCAAGATAAACAAATTGATACAACTAAAAGACTTGTATTTGGGTAGTTTATGTTCATTCTTTTAACTTTCTTCTTTGAACTTGTACTAATGATCGTAACAGACATGTTGATATATAATCTTCATTAAGTAAATATTTCGGTATTCGGGAAATACCAAATGGTACTTATGTCTCATACCGAACCCGAACTCGAATACCCTACCAAATATCAAATTACCAAAATTTCAATTCGATTCGTTAATTTGGTTTTTGATATTTTATGCCCAGCCCTACATCTAACACGCCAAATTTGATACCTAACAGAAGTCACACATATCTGATTATTGTATTTAATTAATCTAATCAATTGCTAATAATTAAATTATTGATTGCTGGCTTTTGTTTTGAATTATTATATTATGATTGCTGGTACAAGTATATGATTTATTTAATTTAAATGTTTAAATAATAAACGAAAAGAGG